TCTGTCTCTGTCTCTCATGAATAAATAAATAAAATCTTTAAAAAAAAAAAGAAAGAAAGAAAAAGAGGGGCGCCTGGGTGGCTCAGTCGTTAAGCATCTGCCTTTGGCTCAGGTCATGATCCTGGGGTTCTGGGATTGAGCCTCGCATCGGGGTCCCTGCTCTGCGGGAAGCCTGCTTCTCCCTCTCCCACTCCCCCTGCTTGTGTTCCCTCTCTTGCTGTGTCTCTCTCTGTCAAATAAATAAAAAAAATCTTTAAAAAAAAAAGAAATCTTTAAGTTAATTTTAAATAATGTATTTTATCTGACTGAATATACCTAAAATATTATTTTAACAAGGGGCAGTAACCACTTTAGCTGCTCAACAGCCACATTTGCCTGCTACGTCGGACAGGACAAGTTCAGAGTTAAGTGGACCTGGATTCGCATTCTGGCTCTGCTATTCACTTGCTATTTACTTGCTAAACCTCATTTTCACTGTGTTAAAAATAACCATTTCCAGATATTGTTATGAGAATTAAGTAAAAATGGCATACACACAGTGCATGGCACAATGCCTGATATACAGGGGTGTTCGTGAAATGAGAATTTCCCCACCCCCACCTTCTACTCTAGAACTGAAAATGGGCTCGGTATCGTATCATCTGTGACCCAGCCTTAGTTCCTTCTCTTCTATCTGTACTATAAACTTTAGCCTTTCCCCCACCTGCATGCCTCTCCCGCCTTGCTTCCTAGCAGCAGTAAATGTGACTGTGTGGACTTCTGGAAGCCATGGGGTCTCTTAGTCATGACCCAAGTATGTGGTCCTTAGAAACTGAAATGATCTAGGTGAGAGAGTTTTCTTCTCTGGCCCTGTCTCATCCGGCTGGAGCTTACCACAACTATGGCTTCCCCAGCAAGTGCCATCAATAGCAATGCTTCTCCACTGGAACATACACTGACCTGAAAACTTCTAAAGGTAAGGAGTTTTCTACAAAATAACTGGCAGAACCCTTCAAAAGTGTCAAGATCAAAAAAGACAAAGAACAAATGAGGAACTATCACAGATTGGAGGAACCTAGAGAGATTAAAAAATCAAAATGAAATATGGGATCCTGTGTAAGATCTTGGTGCAGAAAAAAAGACCTTGGTGGAAAAACTGGTGAAACTCACATAAGGTCTGTGAGTTAGTTAACAGTGTCAACTTCATCTCAGTAATTGTACCATGGTAATGTACAATGTTAATTTAGGGGGGTATAAGATGAATAGTCTGCTGCTCTAATGGATAACATGGTGACTACAGTTGATAACATTGTATTCTTTCACTGAAATTTGCTAAGAAAGTAGAACTTAAATGTTCTCACACACAAAAGGTAAATATGTAAGGTGACAGATGTGTTAATTAACTCAGTGGGGTGAATCCTATCACTACATACAACACACACACACACACACACACACACACAATTTACACATCAATACAGCTGAAAAAAAAAACATTGAAGGTTATATGGGAATTCTCTATACTATTTTTATGACCTTTCTTGAGGTCTAATAACATTTCAAAATAAAAAGCTAAAAGATTTTTAAGTGTGATTATTTGAAACTTTATTATGAAGGCACCTCTGTCCCAATGGATTTACCAACTGATATACCACTGTAAATATGCTACTTATGTTAAGCCTATTGCAGTAAGGCCATCACACAAGTTAATGAAAAGTCAATTCCAAGGTATCGAAAATCCACCTTAATCAACACTATTAGTTCGCAAATCCACTAAGAGAGTATGATGTCACCTACATACACTCGGTAATACCAAGGACTTGATGACAGCAAATAATGTTTTATGTGACGAGTAATGTTATTAAATAAATATATCTTTTGATTTAACATTACCGAATAACGTGCTTAAACATTAGCTCCACTGAGACCAACTTTTCACAGAAAGAAAGTGACACGAAAAGATGAGGAAGAGATGCAAAGAAGCATAAACTAATATGTACCCCTTCAGACCTTCCACGCTTTAGGAAACAGCTTGGGTCAATAAGCTCCGAACAAAACCCAGTGCAATAGAAAAGAAAGTCTGTTCTACTACAGCATGTGTTTCTGTAACATGAATCAGCTCACAGGGACTATGAAGAACGGGTTTCAGTATAAAGCAGAAGCTGCATTAGTTCATAGGAATTTTTTCCCAGATCATTAATGCGTTGCCTCTTTAATAATAGCAACTGAAGGCTAAGTACACTAATGGCAATAAGCCAGGAAGGAATCAGTACTGTATATTCAATCCTTCTCTTACAAGTGCTTACTGAAAGGTTAACTCTGATCTTTGTTTTAAATATATATACATGTAAATAAATAAATAAAGTAAGTAAGGTAACCCTGAACAATGAGCAGAGGATACACCTCTGGTATCAGTACATTTTGTACAAAGCTTGCAATCTTCTATTTGTAACTTCTGATGAAAATGTCCCTCTGCCCTTGTATACATAGACGAGCTCAACCCTTCCTTATATTGCCTTCAAGTTGCCTTCAGCTTTGTCATTTTAAATAAATCCTACACTTAATGCAGTGCTTATTTATAAAAAATTTCATGTTTAAACTGTGCTAGCAGTTTTATTGAATTGTTATTGTTTTCATTAGTGCTCTAGTTACAAAGTTGCATTAGCCCTACTACTTTATGAATTTGCAAACTGCAACTTTCCAGAAACGTATATATAATATTATAATTAAAATGCTGTATTTCCACATACATTGAATATATAAAACACTGTCCCAGGATTTTTTTTAAATATAAATTGTCTTACTACCTTATTCCCAAAGATTTAATGTATCAATGAAATGTGCCATATCATTTTGTAAACAGAATGACAAACTACAGTTTCTATTTAGCCTTAAATTCAAATTTAGTCACGCATTTCTTGAGTCACACATTTCTTAAATAGAATGTTCTGATATAATAATGATAATTATCATCTAAGTTAAAACCAGACTGATACATTTTGTAAGAAAAGCAAATATGCAGTGTTGACATGAATTAAATATATACTCATGAACATTAATCAAACCAACATCAATCTTTTCAAATGAAGCAGTTATAAAATGCATAAAAATAATAAGGACATTTAGAAAGCATTTTTGCTCATAAAACTAAAAAGATACTTTAACATCTTTTATACAGTATTACATCATGCTAAAAAAGAATTTAGCAAAAGACTTCTTGTTCCTTTCTCAAAAAAAAAAATCATTGCTTAATGATTATTTGTTGTTAAATAACATAGTACCAATCACTAAGCATTCTTTTATGTAAATGGCTCCTTCTAGCAACAAGCATTATGAAAGAAAATTTGCATTATTTGTACATGACAGAGATATAGCACATAATTAACTCATTAAAAATACAGTTTGACCCAAGGAGCTATAATTTATCATATCAACCCCAATTTAGATATACTATTTTTAAATTACTTTATATAATAAATATTAATTAGTTTAATATTTACATAAGAGAATAGTGTTCTCTTTTTCACATAGTCCATGATATGCTAGCATACTTTTATGGACTCATGCAACCCTGAATTTCAAGGAACCTTTTTTTTTTTCCAATTCCCTATTCAAATTTACTTGCTTAGAGATAGTCAGCATGTTTCTCTTGGAAAAAAAAAACTGCACAATTGTCTGCTTATAGTGTGACCTCTTTCACTTGGGTGGGTATCCTCTCCATCACCGACTAAATGAGAATGTAACCTTGTCAAACCAAAGGCAAAAGAATAATGAGCACACAACAGGCTAACCCAGCATGGAAAAGGTTGTTAAGGAGGTTGCAAAAAAAGTACTCTGAATGACAAAATAAAAGTAGAGTCCAAAGAGTAGGTTAATATTAAAGAAAGCACTCAAGAACATGAGAAGCATTTAATCCCCATCCCTGGATGTCTGCCATACAAAACTCCACTCAGATGTATTTATTTTATTAGTTACTAACCAGATTTAGTTGATATGTTTTCAAATGAATCCTGGTAAAACAAGGCTTGAAGGAGATACATTTATGAAATGTCTATTTCCACAAAGGGCTAGCCAAAGGTTAAGTACGGACAAGTAGATCATGTTTTATGTTTACCAAACAATCATATTCTCATCCAACAAAAAAACAATCATTCCAATTAAAGAAAGAGAAATATAAATTGGAAGTCTTCACCAAACACCAGGATTTTACTAACGTTAAAACAAATGACAGTAACTTCTATATGAAATGCTACCCTGATGCACTAACTGCCATCACAGGGAAGCATAGGAAAACATTTTTATAAGTAGGTGAAACCAGAAGAAATCAGGCAAGTTCTGTTACAGGCTTCTCAGTGTGAATTTACTTTTAAAACAAACAAATCTCAAATCTAAACCATTCGAGCACGTGCTGGGATCATTGCATCAGTTATGCACACTTTGACATTCTTCTTCTACATTAAGACTGGAATGAAATTCTTGTTCCTGACCAGTCATAATACTTTAACAGAGAAACAGTGCCACCTTTTGGTCCCAAACAAAAGCCTCCAGTCTACTAATCTTCCAAACTGCCTTATTTCAGTGCAATCACTGAGACTTTACATAGAAATGTCACTGAATTTCATGTCGCAATTATCATTTTCTAGAAATATTGTGTACCTACACAAACTAATAAAAATGAAGTAACATTAAGGTTGCTTCCAAGATGCAAAACTTCAAAATAATCCAAACTGATACCAAATACATGTACTTTAGATCATCAATATAATTTCTAATCAACATATCATTAAAGACATTTTACCAAATTCAAGTATGTCAACCAACTGATATATTTTAGACATAAAAGAAAAATCCTTTCTTCTAGCATTATTACATTTCAAAATTGGTTTTTAAAAATATATTACATTTAAAAAGTACCTATTAATTTAATAATTGGCAAATGATATTAACAGCAAACTACCAGTTAAATCAGACAATTATAAATAATTTCATATACAAATATAATATGTTTCTGATTTACTTACACCAATGACACAATGTCACCACGTTGTACTTCAAAATTCCTCACTTTCCAGTGGTTCAAAAGCACCACATCAGATGATTGACTCCCCCCAGGATTCAAAGAAGGCTAAAAAATAAGGAGAAAGAGACACATCTATCATTTGTATTTTTCAATCTTCATGGTTCCTTGCACTTCATAGCTCTAGTGCAGTGCAATAAAACATTTCTAATATAGTAGCTTTCAATAAATTGCTGTTCTAAAGTAACTGCCAATGATGAGTTTTCAAAAAGACTCATCGGTATTCTTCACAGGTGAACGGGGGGAAAAACATACATTACCAATACCTACTTGAAAGGAAAATGTGCTAGATACTCAAATCTTTACTAAGCTCCAGTAAAGAGGTATGAAAAGCTTTAAGAAGGGTTATTTAAAAAAAAAAAAAAAAGGAGAAAGAAATGAATCAAACCTCCCAAAGGAATATTCAGATGGGATCTAATTCCACAGGAGTGCACATCACTGTTCCATTTGGGGAAAAGAAGAAATAATCTCCAATCAACCAGGGAAACAGCCATATGAAGAAGAAAAGGGAGCAGAAGAAACAAGGGATGGGACAATTATGGAAGATGTGGGCATCTCCCACACTGACCTCTCTCTTCTAGAGAGAGCAGGGAGTGAGGGTCCTGGTCCCAGTTTCAAACTAGTAAGTGACCTTCACCCTAGGATTCAGATGAGTCTAGATGTGCCTAAGGACTGATGGAGCAAAAACTGAGACACGTTTTGTGTAAGAATTCATCTGAAGGTCGGAAACCATCTAGGCATAAAAATTTGATTGAGGAACCAAGAAGCCCACACACCTGTCACTTGGACAGGGGTGCCGAAAAAACCAGTGAATAACAAGTCTGAAACCTGCGGTGGGAACAGAGAAAATAAGAAGAGAATAAGAAAAACTGGGAGAGCTTTCTCGCCATTGACCCTCCAGGGTCAATGAGGGGAAACTGCAGTTTCTGTGGTAGTGGAAAAAGTGCCAAACCACAGCGGAGGCTCTCTGCCCTCACTGACAGGGGCAGCACGAGGAGACAGCCATAGCCCAGGGCAGGAGCCAGGAAAACAGTGCATGCCACACAACAGCCAGCCCCCGGAGCATTAGTGATATGCTCTCTTTCAAAGATTCCTGGAACTATTCATAGATTTCCACAAAGCCGATGTGGGCAAAGCTGTAGAAATTTTGTGTGAGGGCAATTATCATGATCTTATTTTTTACTCCCCAGGTTTTCTTGTGGCCAATGTATACTGGACATTTCCGAAGATCTCAAATACTCCCACAGCTTCTACCAACTCCTTTATGTGATAATGCCTAAGTATCTCTATCTTTCTTTTTAAATTCTGGGCTATTCATTTTACTTGACTATCTCATGTAAAATTCAACATAATTAAATGGAATTTGTCATTATTTCTTACCAAGAAAGCTTTTCTTTCTTATTTTCTTACATCTTATTTATCATTTTCCCAGTTGACTAGCTTAAAATGTTGGTTAGCTTTTTACTTCATATCTAACCAATCACCAAGCGAAGGAGTATTGTTCTTTTCACAAAGTCTTTCACTTATGGCCCATCTTTCCTCTTCCCTCTCCCATTAATGTACTTCAAGCACCAATTGTCATATAACTCACCATGTATCTACACTAATCACTTTCACCTCCAACTGAGAAAGGAATGATTCCATTTCTTTCCAGCTATACGATTGTGAGCAAGTTACTTAATTTTATTATGCTTCCATTTCCTTACTAGTAAAGTGGTGATAATTAGTAACTTAGCTAATTAGTAATAATACACAATAATAGCCAATACTGACCTTGCTTACCATGTGCACTGTTCTATTAATGATAACAAGACAACTTAGCACTTACCATGTGCAAGGCACTGTTCTAAGAGCTTTACAAATAATAACTTACTTGGTAAGATCATTCACTTCAAGTGCATAGAACAGTTCTTGACCCATGGACAAGCTCTCAGTAATCTCTATTATTGGTAATACTACATCACAATTTTAATGACAGGTAGTTTTGTGTCCTTCCTCAGGTTCCTCCTCTGGCTCCATAATAAAGAACAGAGCTGAAATAGTAGGATAAACCCAAGGGGCTTTTTTGGGCTATGTGCTAGGGAATGGAGCTTTTGCTATCACACAGTAGGGTTAGATTAAAAATTCAGCTTCCATGTGGGTTCATTCTCTCTCATTCATATTCTCTATCTCCCTCTCTGTCTTCGAGTTTAGAATCTTGTGAGTCCTTTTCCCTTATTTCTTTCTATTTTTCCTCCCATACAACTGATGTAATAAAGGTGGCCTAGGGGGAGACCATCTGAACCACAAAGAGAAAATCTCCTTCTCATTGCACTTTCACTGGGTTTGTTTCTTTCCCTTGCCTTCAGATTAGTGAAGAACAAAAGTGATTTAGCAATTTCTGACTGCTCTTCCTTAGTCTCCTTTATTGGTGTTTTTCAAAAGTTTGTGACCACCACTCATAATAAGTTGCTGGAGAGGTCGGGGGTGGGAGGGATGGGGTGGCTGGGTGATAGACATTGGGGAAGATATGTGCTACAGTGAGCGCTGTGAATTGTATAAGACTGTTGAATCACAGATCTGTACTTCTGAAACAAATAACGCAACATATTTTAAGAAAAAAGAAAAAGAAGAAGACAGCAGGAGAGGAAGAATGAAGGGGAGTAAGTCAGAGGGGGAGACGAACCAGGAGAGATGATGGACTCTGAAAAACAAACTGAGGTTTCTAGAGGGGAGGAGGGTAGGGGGATGGGTTAGCCTGGTGATGGGTATTAAAGAGGGCACATTCTGCCCGGAGCACTGGGTGTTATGAACAAACAATGAATCATGGAACACTACACCAAAACAAATTATGTAATATATGGTGATTAACATAACAATAAAAAATTAAAAAAATAAGATATGCATTTTACACACATGCGCAAAAACACAATTCTGAACAAAATTTCACAAGACAGTGATTACTGATATTTTCTATTCTCTTCTAATCTGTTTTGAAAATTCTGTCTATAACCAACCATATTAAGTTCGCATCCACTGTCCTGATTTTGAAACCTACTAGTAAGTTGCAATCCACAGTGCTAAAATCATAGCTTTAGACAATTCTTCTTCAACCATTACCCTTATGAAGGCTGCATTTTTCCAGAATTCTACCTTTTTTCATTCATTCCTGTTTTTAAATTCTTTCCCTGAAAAATCTCATCAGCATTCTCAATTGCAAATACCACCTATACCAATAACTTCTAAATGCATAGTCCCCAAATCACTTCCTCCTCAATCCACAGCACTTCACACTATAGTACATGCATACTGTAATGTAATTTTTGCTTACCTGTCTGTCTCTACAACTAAGCAAGAAGCACTTTTTATCCATCATGGTAACCCATAGTTAGATTTATACTCCCAACATCAACTACTTCTCTGAGATACAGCTCATAGCTCTAAGTGGGTTGCTGGGCATCTCATCTGATCAAGTCATTCCCCTACCTTAAAGCCTTCACTAACTCCCTAACACTACCAACATGACTGGCTTTAAGATCAAAATCAAGACACACATGATCTGCAGGACCCTATCAATCCCCACTTACATAGTTCCTACCAGTTAAATTAAACCCTAAGTAGGTTATTCACTCACACTTTCAAGACTTTATATAAGCAAATATTTCTGCCTGAAATGTTGTCCCCTCTTTCCACCTTCTGCCATCTTGTTAAGTCATACAGCAAAACAACATTTGCGTCTTATGAGGCAATTTCACAGGAATTCTTTCCTAACCCTCATCTCTCCTTCTCCCCATTCCCAGCTTCAGTGTCCATTAGGTGATCAAAACTCTCAAGTTCCCTATCACCAACCTGTGATCATTCAATCACAGCATATTTAAATGTGCATTGTAATTATTGCCTTATCTCTCTTTCCAAGAGTCTGTAAGCCTTTTGAGAATGTTGTTTCTATGTCTCTGTTCTTGACACCTAGGCACATAGGGTGATTAATAATTTTCAGGGGAAAGAATGAAAAATATCAATTATTGAAATTCCCAAAAACTTGCCAAATTAACATGCCCAGAAGAGAGATCATATTCCACTCCAGCTCCCAATTCTATTTCTGTATTCCCCTCCTTAGTTAACAGTATCACCATTCACCCTGCTCCGCAGACTAAAATACGCTTGCGTCAGCCCCAGTTTCTTACTCTCCCTTACTCTCATCATCCGACTGTTCCTCTGCCCATAATACCTTTCCCCTACTTGGATTTCTACTTATCTCTCAAAGCACAGCTTGGATGGTGACTTCTGTGTGAAGCCTTAAACAGACAAACAAACACCTACAGTTTCCTTGTAGAAATTAGGAAATTACATCCAGGTGCTCCAAGTCCAAAGACAAAAGAATCCCCATGGACTCAAATCTTGACACTTGGATTCATCCTTCCCTTCGAGGATTACTCATCAACCAGCTTTTCTAACTCCAACTTTTAGAACCAAAAGGTAATGAGTTGTAAACAAAAGATTTATGTAGGGAAAAAAATCCCAGAAGGAAGCATGTCTAATTTCTAACAGTAAAATATTAGGATCATCAGTCAACACCTAGAAGACCTCATCTGATTTTATAAAGGAAACAACAGAGTTTTCTTTTACCTTTCCTCTCCTCTACAAGGTTACATTTAATCATTCCCCCATCTGTGCTCCCTTAGCTATTTAGGTTAACTTCAATGATATTTCTTAAAACCTTGTTATAGGTACCTGCCTACACATATAACTTTTTCACTAAAATGTAAGCTTTTCAGTTACAGAAATCATGTCTTACCCATGTTTGTATGCCCAGAAGGAGACCTGGAAAATAGTATTTTTATACTTTAAATTTAAAATATGAAAGGTTTTTAAGAGCATTTTTAAGTAAGATGGTTCCTAGGCAATGTACATTATCTAAACAGTGTATACATTTCTTTCAGTAAAAACATATTCTAGGTAATCTAGTAAGAAATCTTTTGTGCTGCATCAAGTTAGGCAATTTAAACACTAGGAATAAAGTTGAACAGTGCTTTATTATTATGCATAATGAAATAATGCTAACGTAGTAT